TCTTCAGTTGGATGCCCAGGTCTTCCAAATATCTTGACATAAATGAGTGAGCACTTCGAGCGTTGTATCTGTTTGTTGAAACATCTCAATTGGTATTCCATCAATTCCTATTGTTGTTGTCAGGTGCCCAATTCCTATTGTTATTGTCAGGTGCCGTTGAGTCATCACTGACTCATAGCGACCCTATGTATAAAAGAATGAAACACTGCCCGGTCCTGTGCCAGCCTCACGATCCTTGCTATACCTGAGCCCATTGTTGTAGCCACTATGTCAGTTCATCTCATTGAGGGCCTTCCCCTTTTCACTGACCCTCCACTTTACCAAGTATGATATCCTTTTCCTGGGAATGGTCCCTTCTGACAACACGACCAAAGTAGGTGTGACAAAGTCTGGCCATTCTTGCTTCCAAGAAGCATTCCAGCTGCACTTCTTCCAAGACAGATTTGTTAGTTCTTTTAGCAGTCCATAGTACTTTCAACATTCTTCTCCAACACCACAACTCAAAAGCATCAACTCTTCTTTGGTCTTCCTTACTCATTGCCCAGCTCTCACATGCATATGAGGTGATTGAAAATACCATGGTGTGGATTAGGCGCACCTTAGTCTTCAAAGAGACATCTTTGCTTTTTGGCACTTGAAACAAGTCTTTTGAAGCAGATTTGCCTAGTGCAATACTTCGTCTGATGTCTTGACTACTGCTTCCATTGGTGTTGATTGTAGAGGTAAGTAATAGGAAGTCTTTGACAACTTTGATCATTTCATCATTTATCGTGATGCTGCTTATTATTTTTCGCCATTTACATCTTCCTTTGATACCATTGGTTCTTGGTTGTATGCTACCTCCTGAAAAGGTTTTACATCAACTAATTCTTTTTGTTACAGTGACTCTGTATATTCCTCCATCTTCTTTTGATGTTTCCTGCGTTATTCAATATTTTGCCTGTAGAATCCTTTACTATTGTAGCTTGAGTTCTGAATTTTTTCTTCAGTTCTTTCAGCTTGAGGAGTGCTTAGTATGTTCTCCTTTTTTCTTTTTCCAATATCAAGCTTTTTGCATATTTCATTATAATACTTTATTTTGTCTTCTCCACCTGCCTTTTGAAATCTTCTGTTCATCCCTTTTACATCATCATTTATTTAGTTTACTTTAGCCACTCTATGTTCAAGGCAAGTTTCAGTCTCTTTTGATATCCATTTTGGTCTTTTCTTTCTTTCCTTTGTTTTTAATGACTTTTTGCTTTCTTCATATATAATACCCTTGATGTCATCACACAACTTGTCTGGTCTTCTGTCATTAGTGTTCAATGTGTCAAATCTATTCTTGAGATGGTCTCTAAAATTCTAGGGAGTTATACTCAAGGTCGTACTTTGGCTCTAGTAGATTTGTTTTAATTTTCTTCAGCTTCAACTTGAACTTGCACATGAGCAGTTGATAGTCAAGTGGTGCAGTTGGTCCCTGGCCTTGTTCTAACTGATGATTTTGAGCTTCTCCATTGTCTCTTTCCACAGATGTAGTTTGATTCCTGTGTATTTCACCCAGCAAGCTTAATGTGTATAGTCACTGTTTATGTTGAAGAAAGGTATTTGCAATAAATAGGTCATTGGTCTTGCAAAATTCTGTCAAGCTATCTCCTGTGCCATTTCTGTTACCAAAGCCATATTTTCCAACTACCAATCCTAATTTGTTTCCTATTTTCACATTCCAATCACCAGTAATTATCAATGCATCTTGATTGCACATTTGATCAATTTCAGACTGCAGAAGTTGGTAAAGCATCTTAAGTTTCTTCATCTTTGGCTTTAGTAGTTAGTGTGTAAATTTGAATAATTGTAGCATTAACTGGTCATCCTTACAGGCATGCGAATATTATCCTATCACTGAGAACGCTGTACATCAGGATAGATCTTGAAATGTTCTTTTTGACAATTAAAGTAACCCCATTCTTTTTCAATTTGTTGGCCTTGGCACAGAAGACCATGTGATTGTCCATTTCAGAGTGGCTGATACCAGTCCATTTCAGCTCACTGCTGCCTAGTATATCAGTCTTTATGCATTCTATTCCATTTTTGATGATTTCCAATTTTCTTAGCTTCATACTTAATACATTCCACATTCTGATTATTAATGGATGTCTGCAGTTGTTTCTTCTCATTTTGAGTTGTGCCACATCAGCAAATGGAAATGCCAAAAGCTTTATTCCATCCACATTATTATGGTCCACTCTACTTTGAGGAGGCATCTCGTCCTCAGTTGTATTTTGAGAGCCTTCCAGACTAATGGGTTCATTTTCTAGCATTATGTCAGAGTGTTCCACTACTGTCTGTAAAGTTTCTATTGGTCTCTTTATTTTAGCAGTAGATCATCAGATCCTTCTTCCTAGTCTGTCTTAGTCTTGAAGCTCCACAGAAACCTGTCCACCATGGGTGACCTTGCTGATATTTGAAATACATGTGGCATGGCTTCCAGCATCACAGCAACACACAAGCCACCACAGTATGACAAACTGACAGACGAGTGATGGATAATATAATATACATGTTAAAAATACTGCTTTTGGAGTCAACCTGACTAGTTTCTTCTGCTACTTACTATCTGTGTTATCTTGAGCAAGTTTATTTTAACCTCTGAACCTCAGTTTCTTCTGTGAGATGATAATAAGTCATACTTCATGGGCTTGTTTTGAGGTTTAAGTGAGCTAATACGAGACAAGCACTCCAAAAGTGCTTAATAAACAGTAATTGATATTAATACTAACTTTTAAAAATTGTTTTGCCAACTAAACTAAGGTTTATTCTTGAATTAATGTCTCATTAGCAAACTAACTAATAACTAACTAATAACAACAACAACATAGCTATAGATATAGATAGGAGCTCTGGTGGCATAGTACCAAAGGCATTTGACTGCTAACCAGAAGACTGGCGGTTCAAACCCATCACCAACTCATTGGAAGGAAGATTGGGCAATTTACTTCCCTAGAGATACTGCCTCGGAAACCTAAGGAAGGGTTGTGTGAGTCTAAATCAACTCGACGGCAGTGAGGATTTTATTTTTAAGACATGGATACATTTTCGAAGGCAGTGAGGTTTTTATTTTTAAGACGTGGATACATTTTTGTTGTTGTTATGTGCCATCGAGTTGCACCTGACTCATAGTGACCCGTCCCTGGGTTTCTGTGGCAGTATCACCGAAGTAGATTGCCCAGCCTTCCTTCCGAGGAGTGGCTGTTGGGTTTGAACCACCAGCCTTCTGGTTAGCAGTCAAGTGCCTTAGGCACTATGCTACCAGAGCTCCTAGATAGATATATATAGCAATTATACTTCTGTTAGTAGTGACAATTGTAACTTACTGCCTACATCCCTTTTTTAAAAATTAAGATAAGAACCTCCCACTGATAACTTGTAAGATCTAATTTAGACTGACTGTGTGTTGGTAAGTCTCTGAAATTGCCCCTTCCTTTGGTTATGTACCTGACTCAGCCTGAGATGTGCCAGAAGAGGAAGAGCTCAGGACCAAATATAACAGGGCGGAGGATGCATGTTTCAGACACTAACTTTGCCAACAAGTATTTTTAAGGAGATGCTTTGGTGTCTACTTCCAGAAGGTCTGTCCTTTAACAATATAATTTACTGAAGGAAAATGATAAAACATGTAAACAAAAATCACCAATTAATGTGCAGATAATTTACTGAAATTTATACCAAGGAAAGTAAGAGCCATGCCATTCAAAAATGTATTTTTCTTTCTTTGTTTTATCAGTTAAAAGAAAAATTCTGAGTTGACTTTTGAGAGTAAACATAGCCATAATAAGTAAAGTTGCTAATTTATTCACTGTTTAGAGTATTTCCTTAGATTGCTGCTAAGCAGTCTATACCACTATAAGTTCAGGCCACGAAAAAGTATTTGTTGAGAATGTAACCAATATATTATGCCACCACCCTCATTATGTAAAAATTTGAGCATCTCTTATTTCTAAGGATATTTGTCTTGAGTGTTTTTTAGAGTCTTTGGGCTTCCAAGGATTTATGCCAGTGTAAGTCTATTGATACTTTATAACACTTATTACATTGTTTAGTGATTTTTTGTTTATATATCTCTACCCTTTGCTTGACTGTAGGCAACTTGAAGACCAGGGATTTTGATTCATTCATTTTTGTGTCTTTGCAGAATGCCTGACTTATAGTAAATGCTCAATAAATGTTTGTTGAAAAATGAGTGAACCATGTGCTGGATATCACCTGATTGTCGCCTTTTACACTTTCAAATCCATTCTGTATGCTACTCTGAATCCTGAAGTGGCTGACCTGTAGATTATATTAATGGGGTCCTGAGCCCTCTGGCTTTTGGCTGGGTTTGACCAATGGCAAGAAATCAGAGAGAGAGAGAGGCGAGAGTTTTATTCTCATAGTTCCGTCTCTTGTGAGGTCACCATGTGCTGGCTGTGTCCATCAACAAAACTCTTTTTCAAGGCAGCCTTCTCTATATGACTCTTTTTCCTTCCAGGTTCTATAACCTTTCCATCCCTCATCCTTTTAGGCTAAGGAGTGGTGACAACTAGTTTCCTGTATCCCTACACCCCATTTATAGCTTTATAATTAATTTATTTGTAAATTAACCCCCCACAAATTATCCTAATTAGAGTGAACCTTCTCCTTTGTAATAGGAAGCAGCAGCCATTACGGGAGATCTGATGCCTGGCATCTTTGGGGAAATAAACTGCAGTTTTGGAAACGGTTCTCTGCTTGGGAAAGAATTTCTCCCACTGATAACTTGTAAGATCTTATTTTAGACTGACTGTGTGTTGGTAAGTCTCTGAAATTGCCTCTTACTTTGGTTGTGTGTTTGACTCAGCCTGAGATGTGCTAGAAGAAGCCAAATAAAACAAGATGGAGGATGCAAGTTTTAGGTACTAGCTTTGCCAACAAGTCTTTTTAAGGAGATACTTTGGTGTCTACGTCATTTTTTTTTTATGTTTTCTTTTTGGACTGTTTTTCTTCAGGTGATCATAAACAGCACAATCACCCCAAATATGACTTTCACCAAAACGTCACAGAAGTTTGGGCAATGGGCAGACAGCAGAGCCAATACAGTGTTTGGTTTGGGATTTTCTTCAGAGCAGCAGCTGACAAAGGTAACATGGTCCTTTCCATAGTACAATGAGCAACACATAGGATGCTATTCTGATTCATTGACTGCCTAATGAGAAACTGAGTTGTGCTATTGGTGAGCAGCATTCCTTCCTGGCCTTACATTTCACTCCTAATGAAACTGCAGAGCTGCCAAACCAAATATATTTTTGGAAATACCAGGTTTCTTGAAAATGGAGTTGTTTGTAGAAGGGAAACTCCTATCTAACAATCCTGCTGCAAAGCCTGAAGTTGCAGCCTCCAGAGCAGCTTTGCTGGTCACTGTCTCCCCAGGTGTCAGCCACTGCTTCCTTACTCACTCACATCAGAGTCCACAGGCAGCTGGTTGGCCAAAATCAGGTGATTTGGGTTTTCAGGACTCTGAGAATTAGATGACTTTCCCACGTGGGGGGATAGTTGTTGGAGGGTTGTTAACTTAAAATTTCCAAGGCAGACACCATGTCAGTGCTGCCAGCAACAGTGCACTTTTGGTAAAATAAGCTTGTTAAGTCTTTGAAAAGTTGACATGGTTTCTCTCTGACAGCCATCAACATAATGACACTCTTGCTGGAGCTCTTGAGAGAGGGAGTAAGGTGATCCAGTTTTTAACCCAGAGTGCCCAGAGCCCTTAAAATGTCACACAATGGGGTGTGTCTCTGTGTGTGTGTGTATTGCTTTTTTCCTAGGGAGAAGGTTCATAGCTTTGATTAGATTCTCACAGTGGTCCATGACACACTTTGTGGATGGTTAGAAAGGTATGAGGAGTAGGTCTTGGCTGGTCATAGACTAGGAGAACCCCAAGAACTGAGGGAACAAACTGACTCACTCTGAGGGATCTCACCCAGTTGATGGGTTTGAAGAGCAGAAAGCCTGTTGTAGAAGAGATTTCCTATTAGTGTGGTGGAAGAGCCCTGGGTAGATATTAAGAATGTTTGATTGTAAGACAGCCTATTTTATGTAACATAGGGATTTATTGGAAGAATATCAAAAGTATTTCAAATAATCCAATGGAGAGTTGAAAATCTAGGCCTAGGGAAGGGCTGGAACCAGATGACTTCAGAAATGTTGGTTATAGTAGCTGTTTCTCCCTAGACAGTTGCCATGAATGTTTGACAGACTGGCTGGGCAAGTGTTTGTTGAACCCTTGCTGTGTTGACATCATTCTAGGCACAGAGGATACAATCATAGATTTTGTTTCTAGGTGGTTTTAGAAAATTCCAGATTCTTAGGGAATTGACTATGATTGGCTGGCTCAGCTTGGGTCAGGAAGTTCTCTATAGCTGGGGAGACAGGGCTGCTTAGCACAAACATGGCTGCTTGGGACCTCTGTGTATACCAAAGATAATTTTCGAAGAAGAGAGAATTAATATGAGTCAGGAATCTACCCTGAGAGAGACCTGATAATTTGTACTTCTTACTTGCCCAGTGCATGTACATGCTTGCACACACACACACATGTACATACATACACACACCTCCATGGAGGACCCAGCCCACAGATCCAGTCATCCTAAACCCAGTCACTAATGAGCTCCCTAATAGAGGACACCCCACGGACTATCCATCCTCTACATCCTGTGGTACTTTCAGGTAGGCGTCTGTTCCTATAGGAGGCTGAGAAACCCAAAATGGGCTGGTGGTAGTCTCAGAATCCTCTCTCATACCATTTCCTGGGTACTAACATCTCCAGATTGTATGCTGAGCAATAATCCAAGACACTGAAGTACATGAAGAAGATTAGAGATTAGAGAAAGACTCCAATCTTCTTCATCAGAGTTAGAGAAAGACTCACTAACAACCTGAGATACGCAGATAACACAACCTTACTTACTGAAAGCAAAGAGAACTCGAAAAATTTACTATTGAAGATCAAGACTACAGCCTTAAGTATGGATTACATTTCAACATAAAGAAAACAAAAATCCTCACAGCTGGACCAATAAGGAACATCATGATAAACAGAGAAAATATCAAAGTTGTCAAGGATTTCATTTTACTTGGATCTTCAATCAATCCCTGTGGAAGCAGCAGTTAAGAAATCAAACTTCATGTTGCATTGGGCAAATCTGCTGCAAAAGACCTCTTTAAAGTGTTAAAGATGTCACTTTGAGAACTAAGGTGTGCATGACCCAACCCGTGCTATTTTTGATCACCTCATAAGCATGCAAAAGCTGGACAATGAATAAGGAAGACTGAAGAAAAAGTGATACCTTTGAATTATGGTATTGACAAAGAATATTGAATGTACTGTGGAGTACTAGAAGAGTGAACAAATCAGTCTTGGAAAAAGTATAGCCTGAATGCTCTTTAGAAGCGAGGATGGTAAGATTTTGTTTCACATACTTTGGATGTGTCATTAAGAGAGAGACCAGTCCCTGGAGAAGGACTTCATACTTGATAAAGTAGCAAGTCAGCAAAAAAAAAGGAGGACCCTCCATGAGGTGGATTGACACAGTGGCTGCAACAACGGGCTCAAGTATAGCAACGATTGTGAGAATGGTGTATGTCTGGGAAGTGTTTCGTTCTCTTATACATGGGGTCTCTATGAGTCAGATCCGACTGTACAGCACCTAGCAAAAATCAACATTAGCAACACCTCCAGATCACCAGAGTCTGAAAATTCACATGGAGCAGGAAGCAAAACTCTTGAGAATAGTTCATTGTATATCATTATGGAAGATGTCATCTCCATCCCTGACCCCCAGTTCCCAGACTTATGTATTGAATGTGAAACAACGAGTCATATATTACAACTTTGGAAGATTTGATATTCCAGCAGGCAGAAGTCAGAGTTCTGTAAGACCTGCTGCTTCTGACACATATGCTACAGGGTGGGACCTGAGAATCCTATGGGAATTGTTTCATGCCATTTGCAGAGAAGCAAGTTCATTGGTTTGAGGCAGTATTGTGTGGTGTATAAGGCATTAAGTAATTTTATGGATGGTGGGGCTTGCAGAGGTACAGCAGTCAGGGAAGTTAGACAGACCCAGCTTGTCAGTGTCTGTGCTAATGGGGAAAAATTACCTTTGTTTCTGAAAGAAACAACTTTCCACCAGGAAGCTGGCTGATCACTTGGAGGTGTGATGTGAATTGGGTGCTCAGAGTGGGTCAGGGGCAGGGGCAGGAGTCAGGGTGGCTATGGAGAAGAGTATGTGTTTTCAAATCTACGTGCTGCCTCTCTCCCTAACACTATCACTAGTATGTTAAGAGTCTTTTGAGCAACACCAGACTACCTGGAAGAAAATGACTGGTCTCCATAGAGCAGCCCTTCCTGTCCACCTGGTTTTAAGGGTACTCTTTTGCTGCATTAGTGTGGAATGCTCTGGCTCTGGGTCTATTTTTGGGCCTGTTGATGTACTCATTTCTCACATTCCCTTGCACCCTGAACTTTGTTCCTTCCCAATGCCTAATCATCCTGCTAGGCCTTTAACCATTGCCCAGGGATCAAGGTGGATCCTGACTTCAAACCATCTCTTTTGTGTACATTAGACAATGAGCTGTTCTCCTCATAGAGAGGATTTTCCTCTTCCATTGTTCATTTTCCTCTTCCATTCTAGAAAACAGGAGTAGCATGAGCAAAATTGTGAAACCGTGAGTCATGTGAAGAAAGCTGCAAATGGTTCACTATTGACATGTCCAGGCTTTTTGGAAGTGGGTAAGCTGATAGAGGGCAGCCCTTGGAGGCCCTTGTATGTCATGCCAGAGTTGCTGGACTCTATCCTATAGCCCATGAAGGATTTTAAGCCAAGAAGGAAAATGATCAGGTTTGCATTTTAGCTAGCTAGCTTGTCTGGCAGCAAGACAGATTATATTATTTTAATCCAGACTAGATATGATGAAGGTTTGAGTAAGACTTGGAGACATCCATATATGTGTGTGTGTGTGTGTGTATGTGCAGAACTTAGTTAGAGGGTGTGGGAGCAAAGAACTCTAGGCTTTTAATAGATAGTTGATGCGTTTTCTGAAATATGGAAGCGGAACAGGTGCTGTGAGATCAGAGAAAATGTTGAAGCTAGTATGATGGTGATTTACTGAAAGAGAGATTAAATAGAACCTTAGGCCTTTTCCCTCCTGAACAAGTGCTTGGTGGGCAAGGGGGGTGGTTGGGAGAATCCCCTTCCTGCCAAGTGGCATTACCCATACCCTCCTCATCTCCAGCTTACAGGGTTGGAACCCTCAGACCTCTGGGAAGGATGAGATGGAGAAACTTCCATGAGACACAAGGTCCTGACTGTATCCCCCTCATGTCACAGGCCTCTGATCCCACTAAAGGCTGGGGTGGTTGGAGAGAAACACAGCTGTCTAAAACAATTACTTCAATCTTTGCAGGAATCAAAAGTAGCTAGGGAGGATGAAGGGTAAAACTTTATATGAAAATTCAAAACAAAAGCAAGAACAAGAACAAGTTAAAGTTCAGTTCTTTGTGAGAACTATCAAGACCACCTTGAGCTGTACCTGCTTCCGAGCATGGCCACTTCTGGTTTTTCCAGACAGAAGAAAATGTCCTCTCATTAAGGAGGAGTGCCCCATCTTCCTGAGTCATTCATTCTCTGGCAGTGTGAAGTCTCTGCTCTGTCACTGTAACCTGTCATTGTCACAAAGACTTATCAAATAGGCTTTCAGATATCTCCTTTGTTCAAAATGTTTCCAATCAACTTTTTCCCTTCTTTTTGAAGGGAGCAATTAACCACACACTGATAAATTACCATGAAGTGAGGCTGGCAGTGTCGACAAGTGGCAGTTAGCTGGCAAAGAGGAACTTGGGTCTCAAGGGTTCCCAAGGAGTGTGCTGAGGGAACAGCTGTGGCTAAATATTCCTGAATGCACAGAGCAGCCACCCCCAGACTTGTGAGGGGAAGTGGTAATCAAACACTCTAACTAGGCTAGAGAAGGAACACTAGTGTGGACGTTTTCATTTAAGAACACTTTATACACACTTCTCTTTCTACCCCCTAGAAAGAAAATAGACACCTTGGGCTAACTGCTCCCATTATAAGGACCACTT